GAAGTAATGTATGTGAAAATACCTAGCAGTCTCGGGTATATAATAGGTGCTTAATAAATGTTCATTTTTCTTTTTTTAATTATCATGTTATAATATGGTTCTGTTTCTTTCAGTGTACGTATTGATATAGTCTTTGATTTATTTATGTGATCTTTGCTGTAGTATCTCATTTGATCATAGGCCACAAAGAATCATATTTTAAATTTCATGCTCTTTCACGTTGCTAGTCTTTTAAGTTATAATTTTCTGAAAGGAAGCCACAGTATCTGCTTTATTTGCTTTAGACAGTGCCTAGTACAATGACCTTCCAATGTGCAGTTTAATAAGTGCTCTGACCGCTCATCACATCTGTGTATCCATGCCTACCAAATTCAGAGAACTGGCACTCAAAATTCAGAGGTTTGGGAGCAGTAGCAATTATTATGTGATTATTAACAAACTATGATTATGTATGATTGCAATATCAATTTTGCTAGTTGATGTCTAATTAATTACATATTTTTTATAAATCAGCTTGTGTGTAAGAATGTAAAAGACAGAAGAATGACAAAGTAGAGGATCAGAACTCTAATTTTTTCTATTTGGGTATAGGACAGAATGGTACAGAATTGCCTTCCTAATTAGTGTAAAATGGAAAGAAAAGGACCTAGCATTTTTCTCCCTAAACAAGAATAAATGTTGAATGCTGTTGAAACTCAATTTTATGTTTGTGTTGGTTGATTTGATGAAAATTGTGAGTCTCTGGCATAGTGCCTTGTGCAAAGTAGGTATAGGTTGAGCATCCCTCCAAAAATCTGAAATTTGAAATGCTCCAAAATCTGAAACTTCTTGAGCATCAACATGATGCCACAAATGGAAATTCCACGTATAAGTACTTAACATAAACTTTGTTTCATGCACGAAATTATTAAAAATGCTTTATAAAATTACCTTCAAGCTATGTGTATAAGGTATGTATGAAAAAAATGAATTTCATGTTTGGACTTGGTCTCATTGTCAAGACATCTCATTATGTATGTGCAAATATTCCAAAATTCAAAATCCAAAATACTTCTGGTCCCAAGCATTTTGAATAAGGGATAATCAACTTATATTGAATAAATGAATTTGTTCAGCCAGATATGCTTTTTGTTAAGTAAAATGTGTTTGTTCTAGAAAGTTAGAAAACAAAAAATCATAAACAAGAAAATAAGTCATTTACCACCCAGAGGTTACCACTATACTGTAGTAGCTAAGAGCATAAACTCTAATAAATCTTAGCTGGGCTACTTACTGGCTGTTTAGGATCCCTTCTTATCTATAAAAAAGTGAATGCTAATAATAATAGTACCTAAGTTACTATAGTTACTCTTTGACCTAAGTCATAGAGTTATTTTTGAGGATTAAATGAGCAATTCCATGAAAATCTTAGAGCAATGCCTTGCCCACAGAAAACACTAAATAAATATGTCCTTCTAGACTTTTTTATATTCATATATGTGTATATATATATTTCACAAAAATAGGATTAGCCTGAACACATTATTTCATAACTGGCTTTTATGTGGTGAACCTCTGTATGTATTAATAAATAGTGCTTCATATGCTAGGAGGTAGGGACTTCAATTAATTAATACCCCAGGGTTCTTTTTAGGAACAACATAGACTTACAGTTGAAATTGCAGGCATGCCTCCCCCCACCCCTGATCCCCCCATAAAAAGGGGGAGCTCATTAGTTATTTTTACCAATTCATTTTTTGCTGTTTTATCTACAGTCTCCAAGGATCTGCTTCCTTTGGGTGTTATGTTTGACTTAGCATCTGCTTTGTTCTGTTTCAGGTACGGAATGAGCCCTGGAACATTTCCATTTCAGCAGAATATATTGCCCAGGTGAAAGGAGTCTCAGTAGAAGAAGTCATAGAAGTGACAACACAGAATGCATTAAAACTGTTTCCCAAGCTTCGACACATGCTCCAGAAATAGCTTCATAACCACTTATTGCAAACCAAATCAACTTCCGGGTCACCATTTGAAAAAAAGAAATGTTCTGATGAAGAATCTGAACTGAGGAAGCCGTTTTATAGGGATATAGAAGATTATAGAGAAATATTTCTCTCAGAAATAAAACTGGGCTTAGATGCTGAATCCCTGGGTTCAGATTCTAGCCTTGTGCTGTATTTCAATTAGCTGAGTCTTGGCAGGATATTGGGAAAATATTGCTACGTCTTACATTGTCACATTAAATAGAACCACCATCTGAACTGAAACCATTGCTTCTGGGAAGGGTGGCTCCCACAGGTAAGACTGAGTACTACTGTGATGAGGATGGAGGAGGCTAAAATTTGATCTTTCACCACCTGTTTTACTTCTCATAGGATTTAGCTAGTGAAGGTGGGAGTGTCTGGTTTCTTACACTATCAGAAATCTTCTCTTTTCTAGGTTTGTAAAATTGAACATTTAGTACTTCTAATTATTTCTCTTTAAGGGAAAAATGCATATAAGGTTTTCACACTGATCTTAGATGTTGACTTATAAGGCCAACAATTTGAACAACCACTACCATTATAAATACCAAGCCCAAAAGTTTAGTGAATAAACTGATTTTAAGTTCCAGTCTGAATTTTGTCACATATTTAAAATGTAAATGGTTTTATTAAAAATATTTCTGACTTTTTTTGTGTGCAGTAA